GGCATGTTCTGTTACAAATAAAACTAAATCAAGAATAAACAATATAAATGTAAAATTATTCTCTAAAATCATTTTGTGATAAATTGTGTCGTATTAAATTCATAATCATGGCTATAGCAGTGAGTTTAAAAACAAGATGATGCAACTATTTGAATCTGTCTCTAATTTAGTTATTTAATCAAGTGTTTTTATGTAGGTAAAAAGTATGTTTGGGAACTTGTAAAATACACCAGAATGCAGGAAACTGCATCTACTAAATTCAAAATTTTCCGGGGGAGGACCTTAGATTTGATTTGATGTTTGGCTCCATTGTGTGTCACTAAGCTAGATCAGAAGTAAGATCACATCCCAGTAGATGCCTCCATTTGATCAAGACCTCAAGACATTCCTCCTGATGTTTACCTCTAGCAGGGTGTCTCATGGTAAACTGGTTCTAGGTGAGGTGTCAGACCAGCTTGGATTCAACAACCGTAATAATGAATAAAAACCAAAGGACCTTCACTTTCCAGCCCAGACTGGATGAGATGCTTGTTGGTGAGTGCCTGATTGACAAGCGTTTACCACCTGGTTTCAACCAGGCACATTGCTGCTGTTTTATCATAAAATATGAGGTTTGGGAATCATTGCTTCCCATTTTGTTTTTTATTTGACTGAATGCAGAAATTTCTGATGAATAAATGGGAGGAAAGATGAGAATTTGATCAAAAGCAAAGAAAATTAGACGTATGAAGGAAAGGCTTAAATGAACACTGACTTGTAAAGATCAATGAGGATGAAGAGAAAAGTGCTGCTGTCGGCAGCTTTCGAGCCGTTTTTCACTTCCAGTAGGTCCGTGGGTGAGCCGCACATGATGACCACTGCAAGCAGAACAGAACCAAATAATCAGAGGGAGTCTCAGGGTTTACTCTCCCCATGCCTCCCCAGGCTGATTTACATTTAAAAATTGTTTTCAATCTTGAAACCAACATTAACACCAAAACCACAAGGCTGACATCAGTGTCTTAAACAAAACAGCATGTGCCAGTTAAAGCCTGCTGCTGCTGAGTTTTATTCTCAGCTCATTGAGGTTTGTTGTCCAAAAGCTTTTACTTGTGTCTCAGTCAACAACTTACAGTTGCTTGTCCTGTTTTTCTGTGGCGTGACAATGTCTATCAGCTCTCCAGGTTTCCGCAGCATCGATACAGAAAAGTTTTTGGCAAACTTGCCGTCTGCTTCCAGTGTATTGATGTACCTGAAAACAAAACAAAAAAATCACTTTTTAATACATATTTAAATTTCAACATCCATCACATGCAATGACACCAAAGTTTAAAGTTAAATACCAAAAGAATAGTAAAGTTAGATACTGTATGCATAAAAATATAGATGCAGCGGGTAAAATAAGTATTGAACACGTCAAAATTTTTCTCAGTAAATATATTACTAGAGGTGCTAATGAC